CTCGGCAGCGGAAAGGGAGGGAGGCGGGAGCAGGAGGAGAGAGGAGGCGGGAGCCGGCGGAGCGGGCCGGGAGGGGGCGGAGCGAGTGCCCACCCGCCAGCCGCTCGGCGGCGCTCCGCGGCTAGGGCGAGACGGAGGCGGCCACCCGCGCCTAGGGGCCTCGGGAGGCGGGGCCTCGGGGCGGGGCGGGACGCCGTCTCCTCGGACCCCGCCCTCACCTGCCTGTGCGCAGGGGCCCGGGAGGCTCTCTGCAAGCCCTGCCATCCCCGCCTGCGAGGGGCGGGGGTCGCGGGGACCGAGAGGAATGGGGGCTAAGGGGAGGGTCTAAGTGGACTTAAAGGACACGGAGTTGCTTTCCCAGGGCGCTACCTTAGTTTCTCTTCTGGAGGAAGTGGGGTTCTCTGCAGGTAGGCTGGGAGACTTACCGGCGAAGACCAAAATGTGCTGTGCGAACCCTGCTGCCAACCGTGATTGGCCCAGGGTGGGTCTGGCGAGAGGAGTCCAAGGGTCTGGGTTCCCACCCTGGACGCCTTGCAACAAGCCAGTACAGAGAGGCCAGGGACTGAGCGCGGCGGTAGTGAAACTACAGTGAGTGAGGGGTCGCTCAGCACGGGGTCTGCAAGACATACACGGTAAATACTTACGAATAATTCCCACTTTAAGTTCTACATCCACCGGCCTGACCGAGGAGGGGCGCTAGCACATTGTAGACCCTCGATAAGCAACAGTAGTTGCCTCTCAGCTGACAAGATTTTGTAATCGCTATCTAATCATCAAGTCAAGTTAAACACAGATTTTTGCTCTGACGGGCATTAATTAAGAACCAATTTGCAATTCAAGTGTGAAGGCTAATTTTAAGCTTAAGTAAAACACTGACTTCTAAGAATTGTCGCTTTGGTATTGAACTCTTACACACCACAAATATTGAGAGCTTCCCATGCTGTAGGCACTGAGGAAGACACTTGAAGAAAGTATTATTGTTCCCATTTTACAGAAGGGCAGACTAAGTGTGGCGAGTGGTAGTAGTTTGTCCCAGGCCACACAGTTTGGTGGTGAGTGGAGCCCAGGTTCCAACTTTTTACACCACACAATATTGCTTAATATATAATTTAGATAGTTCACAATATAATTGGTGAACTCCAAGCTGAGATGCAGTAAACATCATAACTAACAAGATTTCCATTTAAAGGGTTTTCATCTTTGGCTTACCAAAGATGGGAAAGACAGTATTTCTAATACTCAATTCAACCAACAAATCTGTATTGGGCACTTACTATGTGCTAAAAAATATACTAGGAACTGGAGATAAACTGCCAGGTAAAGACAGCAAGTTGGATGTAGGCCTTGGCCCCTGTTGTTTCCCAAAATCCCAGTGAAATGACAGTTACAGGGATTGATTGATTGATTGATTGATTGATTGATTTTAGGGCATAAAACCACTGCAACAAAGAATGGTAAAGAAGACAATGGCAACAAAGTTGGAATCAGAATAGCAACTAGGCAAGTGAAAACTGACTTAGCAGCTCCAAGAAAGCTAAACCCTAAAATGCACAGGGAAAGGCTGAACTGCAACTTACATTATATCACAGAACAAAAGGTTCTGGGATGGGCAGCACCAAGCACATGTAGAAGTGGAGGTGGAAGCAAGGAAAAAAAGAAAAAAATCAGTTGAAAGTCTTTTTAAGAAGCAATTGGATCCCTGAATCTCTTCTCATGCCCATCCTCCAAGACTGGAGTTTTATTCTCTGGAGAAGATAAAACAGAGTCTCTTAGCTAGGGATCATGAGGCACAGTTGAGGACAGGGGTACTATATTGAAAAGTGTGTGTGTGTGTGTGTGTGTGTGTGTGTGTGTGTGTGTATCTCCTAATAACTAATGCTAACTAATATGAAAGCAAAAAAAAAAAAAAATTAAAAATTCATTAGAATTAAAGAAAAGGAAATCTTACAGGAAGTAGAGCCGAAAGACAAAGAGATGGAAAATGAGAGAAAATATAAGAAAATTAGAGGAATAGACCGAGAGAATAATAGAATAGTAAGACTTGCATGGAATTAAAATCAAGAAAATTGGAGGGAAGAGAACATAAAATAATAATTTAGTAACATTATTCTGAACCATAGGACATGAGTTTTGGATTTAAAGGACCCACCAGCACCCAGCACAGTGCCCAGCACAGACTTGCACCCATGCACATTGGACCGGCAAGGACAAGATGCTCAAAGCTCCAGAGAGGAACAGAGCAGGTTTCATTATAAAAGATCAGGAATCAGAAAGGCATCAGACTTTTCTACAGCAACTTTGGGCGCTACAAGGAAATGAAGCAAAGTCTTCCATATCCTGAGGAAAAATGATCCTCACCTTGAAATCTGATTCCATCTGGAGTATCAATCAGGTATGATTGATGTCTCTTTCAGACATGCAGAGATTCCCTTTATCCTTTTCTTAGGAGACGGCTGGAGGACACCATCAGAACAAGGATTTAAACCAAGGAAGCAAAGGATGCAGGATCCAGCAAAGGGTGGGTGCAGCCTAGAAAGAGGTGGTAAGGATCACAGGGTGAGTGGGGCAGAGGCCCCTCTGCATCAGGGCTGTGAGTCAGCCAGCCCAGCCTGGAGGAGCCAGAGGCTTTGAGACACTTCTTCAAGATGAAATTAATGTGTTGAATATACAGACAGAAAGATACATAGTTTGGGGAGAGTTTTGAGATCAATTAGGGATAAACGTATAGAGAACTAAGCAAATATTCATATATATTTATTAACTGCAGGAAAAATAAAAGGATGCAGAGAAAAGAAGTATGGTAAATCACATGGCTCAGTTGTCAATAATATTTGCATAACTATAATAACGTAAACAATGAATGCTGATCTAGCCAGAAGTTAGTAACCCTTGTAGAAAGGAAAGGATAGAGGGACAGGATGTGTGCAGGTGTGATGAGAAGGGCAGTGTGTGCAAGAGATCTAAATACTCATCATCTATTGTGAGAGATCAGTAGATGCTTAAAACTGAAAAATCAAGAGGTAGCAGTATATGCTTGTTAATTAAAAATATAAAGAAAAGTACAAAAATAATCTTAAAAGTTTCAAAGCGTTGCCTCTGGGGAACAGGAAATGTTAACGAGGGTTATAGGCCTTACAGAACTATTTGATTCTCTTAACTGTGTGCACATATAACTTTAACAAAAATAAAAGCTAAGTTGGGGTACCTTGCTGGCTCAGTCGGTGGAGCATGTGACTCTTGATCTTGGGGTCATGAGTTCAAGCCCCACGCTGGGTATAGAGATTACTTTAAAAAGTAAAATAAGGGGCGCCTGGGTGGCGCAGTCGGTTAAGCGGCCGACTTCAGCCAGGTCACGATCTCGCGGTCCGTGAGTTCGAGCCCCGCGTCGGGCTCTGGGCGGATGGCTCAGAGCCTGGAGCCTGTTTCCGATTCTGTGTCTCCCTCTCTCTGCCCCTCCCCCGTTCATGCTCTGTCTCTCTCTGTCCCAAAAATAAATAAACGTTGAAAAAAAAAAATTTAAAAAAAAAAAAAGTAAAATAAAATATTTAAAAAAAATGAAAATAAAAGCTAAGTTAAAGACAATTTTTTAAAAAGGAACTTGAGACTCAGTGGTGAGCAAGGCAGATGGAGTCCCTGCCAGCAAGGACGTGGAGAGTAAGTATTAAAACCAGTAAGTATAGCGGAGCATGTGCTGAGTATTGTTCACGGTGCTATGGGAATTTCCAGCAAGGATTTAACTGAATCTCTGGATCAGAATTTCAGCTGAGATTTGAAATGTGAACAGCAGCTAGCTAAGCAAAGAGATGATAAGGGTTGCTGGAAGAGTGTTCCAGGCAGAGGGAACAACATGTGAAAAGGCCCAGAGAAGAGGCTCAAATGCAGAATTCAGAGGGAGGAGGATGGCAGACAAGACCTGAAGCTGGAGGGAAGCCTCGGGCTGGTCCCTGTGCAGTCTTGTGGGCCATGCGACAGGGT